ATGATTTAACTGCGAATGATTTATCATTGTATTTTAATCCAGGGGTACGTTACGTAGGTCTGTGGCGTTCAGGCGTGTGTGTGAGTGTGCACAGGTGAGTGTGTGTGTGTGTGTGGGTGTGAGTGCGTGTGTGTGTGCGTGCACGGGTGAGTGTGTGTGGTGGTGGTTGTGTGTATGTGTGTGTGTGTGTGTGTGTGTGTGTGTGTGTGTGTTCAGGACGGTGTTCTGCAGCGCAGCGGCTCTATGGGGCGTCTCAGAGATGCAGGAGCAGTGAGAAGCTGGTGAAGAAGCTCCAGGGAAACGCTCCTCCAGACACACACAAGTATGAACACACACACTGAACGAGTTCTCAGCATCTCGTACCGCTGTCATTACAGTAGTGTTTTTTGTTTTTATATTATGTTCAATTTTAAGCTGAATTTCAGGTCATTTTTTGTAATTTATTTATTCATTAAATAGTAATTGAAGACATTCGGTGTCAAGCATTCGGTCTTCTGCTGTTTGGTTTTCAGATATTTCATTTGTGTTCTTCTCTTAGAATGAAACGTGCCGCTTCACTCCGCTTCCTGAACAAGACGGCTGACGAGTCCTTCCAGGTGACGAACATCACTGATACTGACACTTCTTTAGCTCGACAGCTGTTACTGGACTGAAGAATGCATTATTATCATCATTAATGCAGTCAGCTATTCCCTGAACATTGCTGTCTTGGATCATATTGGTGTAAGTGACTGTATATTAGAAACTGGTTAAGATGTTTTGCTGAAGAACATCTCTTACTGTGGTAAAATCACTGTAACACACACAACCGCAAGTGAGATTTGATCTCAAAGCCTTTCTCCTAATAAAGCAATAAGCCCCGTGAAGCTGTGGTTTACAGTGAATATATTACAGCTAAGAGGCGTTGTTAGGTACGACACGAAGCGGAGCTAAACCCTCTTAGCTGTTATAAATTCACTGTAAACCACGTCTTCACAGGGGTTACTGCTTTTATAAAACGGTTATTCCATATACGTAGTAAGGTTTCACAGAATAAAACAGAGCAAATAAAGTGTAATGATATTAATAAACACAGTATTCTTCCACCAAACAATGTAGCTCCTCAGAAACAGTTGTGGTTGCTACAAAGTGGTTGCCGAGCAACACACAAACGTAAACAAAGGTGTGTGTTACTTTGTAGCGTCATTTACAACAGCTTCGAACGCGGCTCAGCCAATCAGAGTCAAGCACCGGAACTCTCCGCTTTATAAAATCACATCTTTAATTTATGGAAGCTTGTTTCTGCCACAGAATCAAAAATAAAAAAGGTAATTGTGACTTTTTGTCTCACAGTTCTTACTTTTTGTGAATAAACTTGCAGTTATGAGAAAAAAAGTTACAATTACGTTTTTTCATATTAATAATTAATCTTGAATGAAGATTGAAGATGAAGGTTCCTCACGCTCCTCTCTGGTTTTGTGTCTCTCTCTGTTTTGTTCTGGTTTCAGAATCTGGGCGGCCGGCGGCTGAGAGACAGTCGAGGTTTGAGCTCCAGTAATGTGGATCTGTACAGCAGCAGTTAAACCACTGCGCTCGTCACACACACACACACACACACTCACACACTCACACACACACACTCACACTCACACGCACACACTCACACACACGCACGCATGCTCACGCACGCGCACGCTCGCACTCGCACACGCACTCACACACACTCACTCACTCACACTCACACACACTCACTCACTCACACTCACACACACTCACTCACTCACACTCACACACACTCACTCACTCACACTCACACACACTCACTCACTCACACTCACACACACTCACTCACTCACACTCACACACACTCACTCACTCACACTCACACACACTCACTCACTCACACTCACACACACTCACTCACTCACACTCACACACACTCACTCACTCACACTCACACACACTCACTCACTCACACTCACACACACTCACTCACTCACACTCACACACACTCACTCACTCACACTCACACACACTCACTCACTCACACTCACACACACTCACTCACTCACACTCACACACACTCACTCACTCACACTCACACACACTCACTCACTCACACTCACACACACTCACTCACTCACACTCACACACACTCACTCACTCACACTCACACACACTCACTCACTCACACTCACACACACTCACTCACTCACACTCACACACACTCACTCACTCACACTCACACACACTCACTCACTCACACTCACACACACTCACTCACTCACACTCACACACACTCACTCACTCACACTCACACACACTCACTCACTCACACTCACACACACTCACTCACTCACACTCACACACACTCACTCACTCACACTCACACACACTCACTCACTCACACTCACACACACTCACTCACTCACACTCACACACACTCACTCACTCACACTCACACACACTCACTCACTCACACTCACACACACTCACTCACTCACACTCACACACACTCACTCACTCACACTCACACACACTCACTCACTCACACTCACACACACTCACTCACTCACACTCACACACACTCACTCACTCACACTCACACACACTCACTCACTCACACTCACACACACTCACTCACTCACACTCACACACACTCACTCACTCACACTCACACACACTCACTCACTCACACTCACACACACTCACTCACTCACACTCACACACACTCACTCACTCACACTCACACACACTCACTCACTCACACTCACACACACTCACTCACTCACACTCACACACACTCACTCACTCACACTCACACACACTCACTCACTCACACTCACACACACTCACTCACTCACACTCACACACACTCACTCACTCACACTCACACACACTCACTCACTCACACTCACACACACTCACTCACTCACACTCACACACACTCACTCACTCACACTCACACACACTCACTCACTCACACTCACACACACTCACTCACTCACACTCACACACACTCACTCACTCACACTCACACACACTCACTCACTCACACTCACACACACTCACTCACTCACACTCACACACACTCACTCACTCACACTCACACACACTCACTCACTCACACTCACACACACTCACTCACTCACACTCACACACACTCACTCACTCACACTCACACACACTCACTCACTCACACTCACACACACTCACTCACTCACACTCACACACACTCACTCACTCACACTCACACACACTCACTCACTCACACTCACACACACTCACTCACTCACACTCACACACACTCACTCACTCACACTCACACACACTCACTCACTCACACTCACACACACTCACACACACACTCTCACACACACACACTCTGATTCTGCATCTAAAGGTGAATAATATCATGAATATTCAGCTCACTGTATAATGTGCAGATCTCAGATGATATCTACAGAAACCACATAACTGGGTCATAATCTGTAAATGCTGCAAGTCTACATATAACAGCACTGAACTCTGTTACATTCAATCACATCTTCCTGTTACTGTACTCCAGAGGAGTCCCTGGTTTCACTGCATGCAAGCCATTATATAGTCTTTACAGTGTACTGTTAATAATACTAAATCATGGTATCAGGGTTTTTTATATATATATATTTTTTTTTTTTTGAGTAAATGGGTTATTGCATAAATATTACGTGTATATCTGTTCATTCAAGTTTATTTGCTGAATTAATGTTTCCAGTCGAGATCTTGAACCTAGAATCCCTCACAGGACCTCATGCTGACGTATGAATGTGAATATGAATATGGATTATGGATGTTGTGGTGATGTAAATATAATGGATGATCCTCTCAGGTTGTAAATGTATTTTAGAAACACAGAGGATCGTGCTGGTTTTATACTGGAGTTTTAATGTTTAACGGATCGAAGTGTAATCGGAGAGGATTTAAACTTTGCTGCCATTCATGAATAAATTGTGCCAATTGTTACGCCCCTGTCCGAGTCCGATTGTAGAATGAAAGCTAATTCTGTGGCTGGACATGAAGGCAGCTTCTGATCTGAATCAAAAGATTCAGAAATGATTCAGAAGTTCTGATCTAGGAACAATTAGGACATTCTCTGCAAGAATAAAGCACTTTTCTTTGACAGCTGCTTTGTGAGTTGGTCAGCTTTTTAACTCACAAGGTAGACTTGATAACTATTCAGTTGTCTTGCAGAAATATAATATGGAATATGCTGTTGTTTTCAATGCCATTCCCTCTTACTCTCTGAACTTAACTGACACAATGATCGGAAGTGTGTGCTTTTCTGCAGATCAACAAAATAAAATATATATATAACACAAAAGTCAGAGCTCTCTTCCAGAGAGACATAACAATTCCTTACATAAGAGCATATTGGAATAATATTGTGCAGAATATTCTTTGGGAGAAAGTATGGTCATCATTCATTTGTTTTGGTAATTAATGCACATATACGGAAACATCTTGGTCAGGGTTTTAATGTTTATTCAATCTTATTTTGTTAGTGACTTCTTTTTGTTTTAAAAGGGTCTTTAGAAGTCCAGTGCTTAATTTGCTCTGCGGTCGTTAAGAGACCAGCTAGACATGCTCTTCCTCTGGTTCTTCCTCAGAAGGTTGTGAAAGAGGAAGACGACTGAGGGCATCAAGTCAAGTCAAGTCACCTTTATTTATATAGCGCTTTTAACAATACAGATTGTGTCAAAGCAACTGAACAGCATTAATTAGGAAAATAGTGTCAATAATGCAAAATGACAATAGTAAACACTCATTTTTCAGTTAAAGACAGTTCATCATTGAATTCAGTGATGTCAACATCCAGCTCAGTTCAGTTTAAATAATATCTTTGCAATCAAGTCAACGATATCGC